CTACTTGATAGGTTGCTGTGCGGATGATTTGAGTTAATCCACATAAGGGTCTCAGAAGAGTCCTGCTATCACGCCAAACCCTCAGGGTAGCAGGTATGCCTCCCAGACCACAAACTTGGGTGTGCAGGAAACACAACCTAACTTCTATTTAGGGCCTCTATTTCTACCAGGGTGATGGAAACTTAACCTCTATGAATTCAAGGTTCTAACCTCTTCCTGAGGGGCTGCACTAAATTGCTGAGGACTTACACAGTGCCAAGGCACCAGGGTTGGGGTCCTGCTTTGTCCTCATGTCATTTCATTTGTCTGTCCTGGCATACACTAGTCTTCTGTTCTACCCAATAGAGCCCTTGGTCATCCACACAGGCAGAGGCTGGGACAGTGGGTTACCATGGACAGTCGAGCAGGTTGTCTACTGCATAAACCTACCTGAATGAGGGGATGAGTGGGATTGAAATTCAACTTTGCTATACTTGTTAAACCATGCATGTAGGTGTAGGATCACTTCTAACCATCCGCTGACCAGGTCATGTACCAATGGTTTCTTCATCTGCCTTTTCTAATTTGCACAAAGATACCTTAGAGCTGGCTGTAGCCCTGCTTGAGTCACCCCATCCCTGTGAATGGCTCCCTCAGGTCCCCTGCCACTCCTGGGGTGGTGCTTGGGCTCCTGGCCTCACTCATGCTGGGGGTGAGCACTTTAGAAAGTCTCTCCCGTTCCAGACCACAGTCCTTCCCCTCAGGCCAGCTATCTCCCCAAGGGTACACCTGGGAAACCCCACACAGGACCCTTGCTCTTGGAGCCCACAGCATAGCTGGAGTTCTGCTGTCTCCTCGGGGCTCTGCCCAGGAAGGGGTGCAAAGCTCTCCTCTCTAGACCCTCTTTGATGGCTGCCCCCAACCCCCACCTAAGGGAATCTTTTCTTGGGAATCTCCTTGTAACCCCAACTCTCCTCACCTCCTTTCTGCCACCCTCAGGATTTTCTCCCCAACATTTTTTCTAGCCAGAAGTCCCTTCCAAGCCTTTAAAACTTGCATTTTGAAGATTCAAGTCAGGAAGATCTTTCTGTTTTGGTGTCTGTCTCCTCTTAGGTAGTAAACTGGGGTGGGGGTTGTTGAACTATTTGGAGGAAATCCATTAATTTCTCCCCACCTCCCCATCCCTGGCCCCAAAACACATGAAACTGATTCACCACACTTGGGAGGAACTGTGGCCAGTGGCCACACTGCTCCAGGTCCTCAAACAAAAAAGTCTGCTATGCCCACTTCTGCAGAACAGGTCAGGGGCTGATGAAACAAGGTAGGGCTCTGCAGCCGCACGCTGCTCTCGTGCTTCTGAGAGTTTTCAGGGACACTCTGCCCAGCCCTTCTGCTTCCCATCCACAGCCAACCTAACGGGTGGAGGACGGGAGGTTGCCTGAAGCTAACCTGGAGTCCTTTCCGGGCGTGCCATCCCCGGCAGCGCTCCCTGCTGGCAATACGAGAGAATTTCCGTGCTCGTTCACAGCGGCGGCAGGATCGCTTCTCCCATAGCCCTACATTTTTACACCTGACAGACAAGCTTCTTACTGTTCATCTACTGACATCCGTAAATGGGGCTGAAAACGTAACTTGCTTCTCTCCAATTCTTTGATATCCCTGAGTTCTGTTTTTATTGGAGAAATTGGTAACAGGCGGGGTTGATGATGGGGGATGGTGGTTAGTCGACTAAAGGGGACTATAGTTAAAAGTAAAATCTTAACTATTTTTTTGCCAAAGTGGGGAGCAAATTTCTTCTGTATTAGGTCAGTTCTGGGAAAAAAATATTTAAAGATAATTTTAAAAATTTAAAGTAAAAATTATTTTATTGAATCCCATGGGATAATGTGTGTGTGTGTGTGTGTGTGTGTGTGTGTGTATTACAGCTTAGATTACACACTATATTGAATAGGAGAATGTCACTAAAAAAATGAAGACTGCAGGATTTTTTTCCCATAGGCTATTAATAGAGAAGCATATTTATTGATATAGTAGCAACATTGAGGTAGCCTTTGAATTTTTATTACAAACAATAATAAAATACACAGTACTTATCATAAGTTCCACATAGCAAATTGATTCTCGCAGAAAGCTTTCATTGATTTTTGCAGAACTCTGGCGTCCCTCGTCAATCTATGGTTGTAATTGACTAGTAAGTGTCACGTGACACTAATTTGGTTGATTTTTTTTTTTTTACCTTAACAAGAAAGACAAGGGCGATATAACTAAGAAAGTTTGTTCATTCTCAACATGACGCAACTTCTTTACTAGCTTAGTGAATGTTTTGAAACATTGACAAGTTCTTTCCTCGCCTTTTTGGGCTCTTTACAATTCAATAGCTACAGACACATTAGTTTCATCTGCATTAACATGTTCTCCATCACTTCCTTTAAGTGTAGTCAATCAACAAAACAATAAAGTCAACACTAACAAATAAGTTACTGATTTCTGCCCGTGTAAATACTCAAAAAATACTCAAGTGACCAACACAATGTCAGTGAACACGGAGCTGGGTGGAGATGCTCAGTAGCCCATGTCATACAGCATTTCCACCCTCCTGGGATATGAGACATCCATAACTTGAAGAAGAGATAATAGTAAAACAATTAGGAAGTGATATATTTTAGGTATTTATTTCCTTAGTTTTTGTTTTTGTTTTTTTGTATACTTAGTGACTTCCTTAATTTAACTTTTAATAATGGCTGTGTTTAACAACTGGCTCCCCAAATTCCTGAAATGTTAATTATTGGTTCTCAGCACAGCACTGCCAGGCCCCCGGGACTTCTGGTTCCACAGCGAGAGACACAGGCAGGAGATGGGAGGGCAGGAGGAGGGAAGGGGTGGTTTTCCTTCTGCTCCCTCCTGGGATGCATTCTGTAGCTCTCGCTCCTCCAGGGGCCCCTCTTCCAGAGCTCCAGGCTCCTTCAGGCTTAGCCAACACTCTTCTCTCCTGTTTCTGCCAGGGTGCTAATGGCCTCTTGGCTTCTTGCTCTTGCTGATGCTTCCCCATCCCAGTCACCCCTTTGTAAACAGTATTCCATTAATCATTCCCTACCCTCTGAGTGCACTTCTGTTTCCTGGCTGTACCCTGCCTACTCAAGTCTGCTCCCATGGTCACAATTTCCAGTAGGAACTGTGCATCCTTAGGTAAGTTGCTCAACTTTTTGAGCTACAACTTTTTTGTGAGGATTAAGTCTGATGCACCAGGATATGATTTCGAAAGATTAACCAATGGTACTTTTTTTTCCTCCTGCTATCTCCTGGCACCCTATAACTCTTTCCCAAACTTGGCAGCTGTACTCTGGTGGCAGTTGTTTCTCAGGGACAAGGTTTAGAGCAGAAGTGGCATGAAGGTTTTGAGTTTCAGAATCGAAGACCCTGGAGAGCATAGAACAAAGAAAGCCTAATTAGTCAGAGCAAAACCTCCTGTTGGGAGACCCCCCCAGTCCCTGAGAAGGCCCTCCTACCCTGCCAAGCCAAGAGAGATAGGACAGCAGAACCCCTGGTTGCACGGGGAGACGAAGCATGAAGAAGTGGCTGCAGGCTGAGTCCAGGCAACCGCATGAGCCCCCCAACCGTGTCCCCCAAGAAAGATGCACATTCTGATGAGACTTCCAGACAGGCCTGGGTGATGACATTATAGGCAGCTCTATGTGCACCTGGTGGCCATGTGCACCTGGGTGAATGGGAGAAGGACAGACAGTAACAGGGGTCCACGGCCTTCCCCAGCACTTCCCCTAACCTAGCCTTGGCAGAAAGAGGAATTCTGAATGGAAAGATATTAAATTCTACCACCCACAGCATGGGGTCTGTGACATGCAGTCTCTAGGAAAACAAAGGCCCACTTCTGCCCCATTTGTGGTTGCAGACCCGTGCCTGTCACAAGGAAGCTGTGTCAAGGACCCTTACCTGGACCACCTTGCCGACTAACCCACCTTCCCATGCCACCTGTAAAATGCAGACTGGTGGCCCTACCGTGAGGAGCCCCGCAGCCAATGGATGGCTCCCCAGGAACCCCCTGGGCGCCCACCAGTGCAGGGGTACCCCAACCCAGGGCCTGCTGTGGTTGTTCCTCTGCCATTTATTCCACTTATACTGGTTATTCAAGTGGCTATCATGAAAACGAATGAAACACAAGAGTGCAAAAGAGAACTATGAGGCACGTTGGAGAAAAGGCAGCTGCCACATGAGATGTAGGGGTGACAGGTGTAAAAGCATGGGAAGATGTTAGGTGTCCAGCAAATTGTACACTTGGAGCACCTCACAAGTCTAAGTTCTCACTCCAAGGGGAAGAAACTGATGGGAAAAACTAGACTGTCCCATGCATGTAGTTTGTATAAGAAGGAAAAAGTAGAGTTCCAGTCAAGCCACATTAAAAAAAAAAAATCTTGCCTGTAAATGGGAACATTGGCAAGTGGGTATGTATTTATGTTACAGTTAAATCGAATATTTACTGAAAACCTCCCATCTTCAAGGCCTCGGATGACAAGTCTCCCATAAAGGACCAGTGTCACAATTCAACATCTCCCATAGAGGTGGCTTCTATTGCCTTCCATGAACGCCAGGATACCTGCGGGCCAAAGGTGCGCGTGAGGGAGCGGCAACAGGGAGCCTCCCTGGAACCCCTTCTTGGAGCCCTGCCCGGAAAGCGAGCCCCCCGCCCGCGGTGATAAGCAAGCCGGCGACAGAGACTCCCGGCTGCCCCAGTCCTGGCTGGGTTGGGCGGCCGCGCGGCGCCGCGGTCAGTCCGGCAGGGGGCGCTGTCCGGCCGCGATGGCCGCGCCGGGCCGCGCTCTGATTGGCTAGGCCGTGGCCCGCGCCCACTCCCGCCCGCCGGGTCCGCTAAGTGCAGCGGCTCGCCTGCTTGCGCCCCAGTCTGCGGGCCTCCCGGGCGGCGGAGGGGCTGGAGCGGCGCGGCGGAGGGGACAAGACCAGGGCAGGAGGGAACCGGCCGGCCGGGAGAGCCCAGTACACCCAGCAAGATGCTGTCCTGGAGGCTGCATACAGGCGCCGAGAAGGCCGAGCTGCAGGAGCTCAATGCCCGGCTCTACGACTACGTGTGCCGGGTGCGCGAGCTGGAGTGCGAAAACCTGCTCCTGGAGGAGGAGCTGCGCAGCCGGCGCGGGCAGGGCGACCGGTGGGCCGAGGGGCAGGCCCGCGTCGCCGAGGAGGCGCGCAGCTTGCGGCAGCAGCTGGACGAGCTGAGCTGGGCTACGGTGCTGGCCGAGGGCGAGCGCGACGCACTGCTGCGTGAGCTGTGGGAGCTGCAGCGGCTGGGCGAGGAGACGCGCGCCGCCCGCGGCCGCCTAGATGCTGAGCTGGGCGCGCAGCGGCGCGAGCTGCAGGAGGCGCTGGGCGCGAGCGCCGCTCTCGAGGGGCTGCTGGGCCGGCTGCAGGCCGAGTGCCGCGGCCTCGACGAGGCCCACGAGCGCGACGTGCGGGAGCTGCGCGCGCGCGCCGCCGGCCTGACAATGCACTACCGCGCCCGCGTCTCCGGCCTCGCCGCGGCCCCGCCGCGCCTGCGGGAGGTGCAGGACAGCTACACGCTGCTGGTGGCCGAGTCGTGGCGGGAGACCGTGCAGCTGTACGAGGACGAGGTGCGCGAGCTGGAGGAGGCGCTGCGGCGCGGCCAGGAGAGCCGGCGCGAGGCGGAGGAGGAGACGCGGCTGTGCGCGCAGGAGGCGGAGGCGCTGCGGCGCGATGCGCTGGAGCAGGAGCAGCTGCGCGCGCTGCTGGAGGACGAGCTGATGCGGATGCGCGAGGTGTACGAGCTGCAGGCCGAGGAGCGGCAGGTCCGTGTGCGGGGACGGCCCCCACCCTGGGCCCGAGCGCCCCAGAGGGCGAGTGCCATGTGGCAGGCCCTCCTGGATAGCCCTGTCCCTGTCATCTTGTTAGGTTGTCAACTTTTTTAGACCCTGACACGACTGTTGGTATTCTGACAAGCGATCCCGATCCGCTCTAGGTTCTCTGTCAATTTCCTCTGCTTCATAAACCGAGTCCACATAAAAGTCAACCAAGAAGCCCCTCGGACTTCCAAAAGTGACTTCCATAAGTGACAGCTCATTTCTTCTCAGATAGGCCCCAGTGTTGGGAAGTTTCTAGGCAACGTCAGGGCGTGACCTGGAGCCATTCGCTCTAGGGCTCCCCTGGGGAAAACTTACATTGTTTTCCAAAGTGGTCTTTAATTTTTAAGAATGATTTACCAGTTGGAGGCGGCTGGTGGTGGCTCCCTGGGCCACTGCTTGCTTTGTTCTTGGGAGGGGCAGCAACCTTAATGCAGAAAAGAACTTAAATCATAGATGTTTTTCTCACCGGACAAGGTGACGTCAGAGCTCTGGGTAGTGTAAAAGTTGTGGAGAGGCGGGCCCCTGCGGCAGGATGTTATTACAAGTGCAAAACAGTGTAAACAGTTACTATTTCAGAAAAGCAAAGCTCAGACCTCTGACGCTGGCAGGGTGACCCCTGTGGCTGATTTATTGTCTGTACACTCAGTCCAGGCCTAAGACGGGCTGCGGTCCCACCCAGGCTAGGCCAGAATTGGAAGTACTCCCAAATTATACTATCAGTAGTTCTCAGGATGACAGTTCAAAATAACACCTGCACAAATTCAGACATATTTGAAGGGAACAGTTTGTAGCTTTGGAGTTAGAAGATTTATAATAAGGTGATTTTTTTTTAATTAGAAATAAAGGGAACATAGTGGTTGTGGCATCAACTGGTGATGGGACAGGTGCTCACAAATAATCAGCAAATATCTATCATCTACCTCTGGGTCGCCAGCACTGTGCTGGAGTTTCAGGATTCAAAGGGCTGGAGTCTAGATGGGAAATCATGTAAAGCCATACAGTACTGAATTGGTTGGAGTTTAACCTTTCGGATTGTGAGATTGTTTGGCCTCTGCCTCCTAATTTCCAAAGTGTTTTCTAGGTGTTGTAGGTGGAGCCAGGACAGGGAGTGACTAAAGTGTGTGCTTTCCAGAGCTTATTCTAGACTCCAGGGCACGTCCCTTTGCAATGATGGTGACCAGGGACACTAGTTCCATAGGGCCCCATGCTCTGCACTGAGGGTTAAAAAGTGTCTTAATGTTGACTTTACAGAGCTTTTCACCAAAAAGGAGTGCCTGCCAAAAAACTTAGTGCCCACTGATCCCCTTTGTCGGGAACCCTTGCTACCGCCTCAAGGGCCGGTGCTATGCAAGCAGGTTTGGAAAGTGCTGTTTGAGGCGTTTTATGTGGGGCTGAATCCTCACCATTCATTTGCAGCCATAGCTCACTTGCCTCATGTCAGACCTCGAAGCTCCGGTTTCAGGGTTCTCTCCCAGCGTCAGAACACCTTCCCCCAATTAAATCTTGAGTGTGCGCTCAGATGTGAACCAGATGGCAGTGGAGTTCCTCTGACTGGAGGAGAGGTGGGGACTTGAGAGGGGCAGTGGGAATCAGCTCCCAGCCCTGCTCTGCCACAGGCCCCGGGGCCCACCTGAGGAAGGGCCTTTCCTGGGTTTGGGTGAGGGCCTCACCCTCAACTTCCTGTCCAGAGGTACCTCTCTCATTGGAATTTGCTTCTTTCCCCTGAAGGAGAGCAGGGAAAACAAATGAGGTTAAAGCAGCTCTACTTCAAGTTGCTTTCCAAAAGATTCAACACCAAGCATTAGTTCTTTTTTTAAAAAGTGTAAAAATGCTAGAAAATTTGTTAAAGAGTAGTTTTGTTGAAGATTTAAGCACAAGTCCCTGATCTTTTCAAATCCTATAGAAGTGACTCTAGGGAGACTGAAAATGTCATACAACCTGATTTAACTAATGTACTACAATAAATTTTCATTACTAACAGTTAGCTTTTATCAGGCACTTTTGTGTGCCAGTTGCCACAGAGACCAAACCCTTCACACATATGCACTCTGCGTTCTTATACCAGTCTTATGAGGTGGGTACTAATATTAGTCCCATTTTACAGATGATAAAATGGAGGCACATAGGTCACTTGGTTAGTAAGTAGCTCAGCCAGAGATTTATTCAGGCTCCAGTGTCTGAGCAGCTAGCCACTGGGCCACATTTTCTTTCTTTTCTCTGTTCCATCAAAGATAAACTTTTAACCAGTATTCACCTTGCAGTCATAGGATAATAATATTGCTCCTCCTAAGGGTCAGCCCAGAGTTGCCCCATTAATCTAAAATCCTAAAATGTCTTCAGACCCTTCCAGCTGGCTATTGTCAGAATAGTGTTAGTGTTAAGTCTTTTTTTCCTTTTTCTGTTTCCTTATGGTTTAATGGGAACCGTCTCCCCTCCACCTGGAGGCAAGGAGCCCCTTCCCAGAGCCCTGCATTTCCCTGGCTCTGGGCCCCCAGCACAGTTTGAGAGAGCAAGATGCTTGCTAGGACTTTCCTTTGGGGAAAAGTGGTCCTTCCCAGATGGCCCACATGTCTCCTCTCTGTTAGGCCCCTAGCTTCAGATTTGTAGCATTTTTATACATTATTTAGATCACTTGAAGCCTGAATAATAAAGCCTATTGCCCAGCCTGCAGGAAAGGGCTTCAGACAAAAACTGTAAGATATTTGTATTTGCATATTTGCACCAGTCTTACCCTATAAACATTGAGATTTTTGCTTATGAAACAGCTCTTAGCCTCCCAGGCTGACTGTACCCTGAGATATGATTCAATGAGAACTTTCTTCTTGATTGGATGGGCACAAGTTAGCTGCCCTACCTGGGCCTGAATTCTGGTTCTGCCACTGTTTGTGTAGATTTGTAATAGAGTGATTTTTTTTGTGAAATAGGGATAATGATAACAGCTCACGGGGCTCACACACGCAGTTCATTAAGTCAGCTAATGGCTGCTGAGCAGTTCGTGGTCCGGGCTTGGTTCTTCAGTGCTGGGGATTCAGCAGTGGGCAAAACAAAACAGAGAAAGTCCCTTGACCTCAAGGGCCTTGAGGTGGAAGCAGTGCCTGGTGTTCAGGAGGCAGGCGTGTCTGGGGCCGAGTGAGTGAGGGGCACAGGGCCCCTCCAGGACTTGGGCTTTTGCTCTGAGCGCTGTGGGATCCAGCCGGAGTGTTTGGAGCAGAGACGCGTGGTGACTGACCTGTTAAAGGGGTCGCTCCGGCTGTTGTGTGGAACATAGGTGACGGGGGCAAGAGTCAGAGCAGGGAGACCTCTTCAGGAGACTGTCGGAATAATCAAGGCAGGAGGTGTTGGAGGCTTGACCAGGGGCAGCAGTGAGAGGCCTGAGATAGAAATCTACTCTGATGAAGCCAGCGGGCTTTGCAAATGGATTGCATGTGGTGGGAAAGGTGAAGAGAGATCAAAGTCGACTCCAGGATTTGTGGTCTGAGCATCTAGAAGGGAGTCTCTTTGCTGAAGGGGGTGTTGGAGTAGCACAGAAACGTTTGGGTGGGAGATGAAAGTTCAGTCTGAGATGCTGCTTAGATACCCACCTGGGATTGTCAGATAAAATTATGAGTCTGGAGTTCAGGGTGTCATCTGCACTAGAACTATAAACATTTAGTTAGTATCCAATCACTGCTTGTTATTATAAATACATTTAGTTTTTGTGTCTAAAAGAGGTTATCACAGTATTTAAATTCCCTCAAGCTCTAACACTGAAGACTCTCCATGACCGTGACATTGGCAATCTTCCTATTATGTCTGTGTGACTTGCTCAGCTTGTTACCGCTCAAGTTCGGTTAAGAGAAAGGGAATTCTTTGGACCTGCACAGTAGCATGCTTTCCCTTGTAAACCCACATTTCGTCATCAGTTGTGATGCCTCCCAAAAGATCTCTAAATAGCAACCTGATAAGGTGACCTCTCTCCCCAGCTTTTGTAACATTAGGTGAGACTGCTTCTACTTGGAAGTAGCATGCTTGTTTCATGCTCCAGTGCCCCTGGCCTGGCCCGTGGTTTGAAAACTTCTGGCAAAGTAAAGCCCAAGTCTGAAGCTTTATTCAATCAGCAGGACGGGTGGTTATGATTTCTGTGGAGACTGTTAGGAGCCACTAAGTCTTACATTCCTGCTTCCAAAAGTCAACTAGTTTTCCTTTGACAGTTTAGGAAGAGTTGACTCCCAGGGAAATGTGGTCGGAGCTATACTTACTTTAACTTAAACACAGTTTGGTTTTCCTCCTCAGGTTTCATGGGGTGCAGAACTATTCTGTGCCATCTGAAGGAGAGAGAATGTTCGTGCATGCCTCTTTGGCATGGGTGGGAGATCTTGGTCTGCATAGGGGTTTGGTGGTTGGAGAGTTGAATGCATCTGATGTTTTTTTTATAAGCAAGTTACCAGTAATTAAATTTCTTTGTACACAGAATAAATTACTACAAAGTCTCAAGTTTCAATACGTAGGTTGATTTTCCTATAGTAGAAAGGAATAAAATGTTTATAAAATGTTTTATGCCATAACCTGTGCCTGAGTTTATACTCCCTCAAAAATGGGGGAATATAGGATTTTAACCCTGAGACTTAACTGTGCAATGTCTGAACATTATGGCTAAATTCTGGCAGCTTTGTCACTTAAATCAGGACTGGTTAATGGTCTGTTTTGGTAAACCTGTTTGTCTACTTACAATGCCAGTTTTGAAGGGTGTGTTAATAGAGGTCCACCCTGGGATACTAGTCTAGCATTTCTCATCCTTTGCTGTAAAAGCCAAGCGGTTTCAGTTTTGTTTTGTTTTTTAGCATTCTTTATATACACAAAGAGAACCAAACAACAATTTTTGGCATAGACATAGAAGTGTTATGGGAAGCAAAATTATTTAGATGTGGAATATGCATTTTTTAAATGGTTAAATCTAGTGTGAGATCTTAGTTAAGTTCATTCCTTGGATTCATAGATGTTACATATTTATTGTGGACCTTCAGCATATTGCCAGGTGCCTTTGGTGAGGAATGAAAATAAATTCCCTCTCCTGATTGTCTTACAGTCCTTAAATTCGGAGTCTAGAAAGGGAGCCAGTTTAGTTAATTGTCTTCAGAAATAATGCTGTTTTCCAGTAGTACACACGAAGCTAAAGTATATGGACTTATTTCAGTGTTTAAGTATTTGCTCAATTAATTATTCCCTAGAGTAACTATAAAATGTTATGCAAACTGTAAAGCAGAGTAATGCAAAACTGTAAAATGGTACAAACGAAGCCTTGTGTTTATTAACTAAAAGATACTGTTGATTTAAAATAGTACATTTTGAGGGGGAGTAATAGTATTCTGATCATTTCATTTTAAATTTGATTTGCCAATTATATGCTGTGTGACGTGTATGTGAATGGCATTTTTCTAAAGGTGGGAGATGCATGGGGTGCCAGGCCACACCCCATTGGTGTCTCCTGGCCAGAGATGGACAGATGTATTTAAACAGGTGCGAGAGGGCTGTGTGAACACGTGCAAAGGGGGCACTTACTAACTACATCCTACAAGTACAGTCCAAAAAAGAAGATTGATATCTGGGTCTGAATTATGACATTTATGCCCAGAATATATGCCTACCTCATTAATGTAGCTTTCCTCCCCAGATGATTTTAAAGGAGATTTTCTAAGTGAAACAAAGAACCCTATCAGCTTCACTGTTTATTATTGAGGAAATTGTATGAGGGAAATTCTGTTTAAATCTGAGTGACTTCTGTTTTGAATGTTATAAAACCCCTGCTTTTTAGTCTTGTCTTATTTTCAAAAGCGTCTTAGTTGACTGGTTTGATGTACAGTGTTGACTTTCCTAAGCAGCCTGATGTCTGGACGGCAAAGATGCTTTGATAAGCAGATAAGCATTCAGTATGATTAAAGTATGAACAGAGAAGCCAGTATCCTATCAAAGTCTTCCGTGTGCAGTTAAAAAAAACAATCTTCCATGTGGAAGAAATGCAGTATTTAAAATCATCTTTTCAATGAGTGCATATTTAACAATCCTGGGGGGTTTTCATCTCTTTTTGTGTCCTGAACTGTTGGTACCTTAAGTTTGACTCAGCAAAGCTCCATTCCTCTGATCTAAAAGCCTTCTGTTCTCTTTAGAGAGTGATTGCCTGCCTGGAGGACGAGAAGGAGGCCCTCACCTTGGCCATGGCGGACCGGCTGCGGGACTATCAGGAGCTCGTGCACGTGAAGACCAGCCTCAGCCTGGAGGTGGCTACCTACCGGTAAGGATGCTGGGCAGAGCTGGTCTGGTCTTGACAAATCACCATAGGCATTGCGTGGTCCCTGTGGCTTTGTGACAAACAGAGAGCAGGCCTCAGCGTGGCCAGGTGAGGACTCCAGGGCCACAGGGAGGAGGAAGAGCAAGACCACACTTGTCTCACTGAGCAAGCAAGTGTCCCCAGCAATGGGACTATTGCTAATGTTTGTGTGTCCCAGGCACTACCCATGTCAGCTCCTCGAATCCTAGGAATCAGGTACTGTGTTTACAGATGTACAGACTTCACTCAGAGAAGTCACAGAGCTAGAAAGTGGAGGGTCAGGATTCAAACCCAGGAAGTCTGAGTCCATCTGCCTTTTTTGCTGTTGCTTCAAATCCTGGTACAGTGACCCTAGTCCCTTTAGGTTTGGCCTCAAAGAGCTGCGTTTCTGCCAAAAGATTAGCACTGACAATCTTTTTGCAAAGGCAGTTGGCTTTGTTTATCAAGATGTTGACTTGAGTTCAGGGTGACCAGCCTCAATGTTAAGATCACAAAGCCCTCAAAGGGGCTGGGGGGCTGGCAGAGCAGAGAACATGGTTGGGAGTTGCCGAGGGGCCTGCAGAGTGGCGTTTCCCCTTGGTGCTCCCCTTCCTGCCCCTGGAAGGTAAGTGGGCTTTGATTGAGGTGGCATCCCTTATTCCCTGGTGGCTTTCATGCCTGGTGAGGACCGGCCAGAGGGCCCAGGTCTTAGACACACAATGGGAGGGATTTTGGAGACTCAGGTTCCCCACGCGTGAGAACAGTACCAGTAGCCAACACCATGGAGCCCTGCCTGCCTGCCAGGCACAGTGCTAAGCTTTGCTGCTATTCACTGCCCACAGTCACCCTCTCTGCTGGGTGTATTTGCTCCTTTTACAGGCAAGGGTGAGAGGCCTGGAAGTCAGGTGTCTAGGCTGGTGAGGGGCAGAGTTGCCCAGGTCTGGCTCCAAACTGTTCCTCACCCACCAAGGCATGTAAAGTAGGCACAAAGCCCATGTTGGTCCTCGGATTCTTATGACCATAAATCCGTCGTGGGTGTGAATGGGCTTTGGAAACTCTGCCTTGGCAAGTCGTAGATGGCATAGTCGTCAGGACTGTCAGGGGCATCATTGTTAACAGGGGGAGTTCAACCTGGAGAGGACTAAGAAGGGGGCCCAGGCCAACTCCTCTGGTTAGGGGAAGAGCCACCTGGGTCAGCACTCCCTGTAGGCTGCCTGTGCAGCTTCTGACCATGATTTTGCTTTAAGAATATCAAAGTGGCCTGGATTGCTTTGATGTGCATTAAACGGTGGTCCCTGACTGGAGGACGCGGGCAGTCCACGTTGTAGCCATGGGCCAGCCTCACTGTCTTTATTGTCTGGAAGACTTGCACCAGCCAGCCCTCTATCAGGGCCCTTATTAGCATCGGTGAAGAGGGAGCAGGCTATCGGGCAGCCCCTGGCCTGAGCCCAAGGTGGCAGATAAGGCGTGAATCCTGCCCAGGGGCTCGCAGCGCTTGGAGGCATCTCCAGCCAAATGAGGAATGGTCCTGGGGCCAGACCGGTGGGGACCTCACCGGCTTCCCACCCTGAGATCTGTGCCTAGGCCGAGTGCTGCGGAGGGCATGGAAGGCAGGGGTCAGAGAGGGGTGAGGAGGCACCAGTCAGCCTGTCCCCCCCTTCAAGTCCATCTCATACATCCTCCTTGGAAATCCCATGGGCTAAATAATTGTAAAATTAGGTTGGCAGACTGTTCAAACAAATGCTGAGTAAGATGATCTAAATTTTCTAAGGGAAACTTTAAAACAGTCTGGCTTTATTTGAAGGACAGAAGCATTAATCAGGATTTTTTTTCACTTGCAAGTGACAAAAACCCTCCTCAGACCAGTCCAGGTTCAAAAAAGGCACTTACTACTTAGGTAACTGAAAAAGTCCTTAATTCTTGGAGGCACAACAGGTCTGGGGGGCCAGACCAGGGTGTGGGTGTTGTGCCCCTGCCTGCTCTGGCCACCACCTCCTGGGCTGTGCCTGCGCTGTGGCAGGAGGGGCCCCGGGCGGCTCGCTTTGTCCTTGCAGCCCCACTCCCCCACCCCTGGCTCTTTCCTAACAGAACTCCTGGTTGCAGGTCCCTAGCTCACATGCCTGTCCCCGGCTAGGGGACAAAATGCTCTAGAGCTTGGAGGGCTCAGCCTCCCGTGAGTCCCGCAGATGGAGACTGGGGTGGGAGGTGCCCCAGACAGGACACCGTTCCAGAGCACATGCCGGGTCAGCCCAGGAAACTCCCATCTGTGCCCATGTAGGTGTCACCTGCAGCACGTCAGTCTTCCCAGCAGGGACAGTGGGATCTTCCTGTTCCCTTTCTCTGGGTGGGACTCATTAGATTTTGATTTTGTGTTGTTTCTCTCTGGAATTAGAGCCCCTCCCTTTCTTGCTCTGTGCTGCCCACAGTTCTCTGTGCTGAAAAGTCAGGAGGCACTGGTGAGCATCCTGCCTGTGAGGCCATGGCCCACCTGTTTGGTAGGTGCTCACAGTGCTGCCAGCTTAGCTTTCCTCAAGAGCATTGATGGGGAGCCTGTTTTGCTTATCAGCAGTCTGACTGTCAGCATTTACTGCTTCTGTCTGTTGCTGGCATTTCTCTAACCCAATTAGGGATTGGCTTGGCCATCTCCTAGGTATTTAGGAGGCATTAGTACTTTCAGGAAGGCGGGCAGGTGATTTCACTGTGCATCTTTCCGAAGTCTAAGTCTGCACGAGGAATATGAGGAGCCCGGCCTGCCCAGCTGCACGTACCAGCCTCAGTCGCTCTAACTGCCTCAGGCCTCCCTGCTTCTCAGTGTTAGTCTAAAAGACATGTAGGCACTTATTCGTAGCAGCCAAAAGCCTAGTATTTTTGCCACTGATGGGTATCGTGAGGATAAGTGTTGTCATCTCCTATGTAACTCTTTCAGTATTTTGTGCTGCCCATATTCGGAGGACAGGTATGAAAATTTGGGCTTGTGCCCTGTTGTTCTTCTGACCCTTTCCAAGCATCCATTTGATCTTTACACACCTTGGCCCACCGTCTTTGAGGAAGAGGCCTTCTTCCACACCCTGCCTTGCCCAGGGCAGTGGGTCGGTGAACCCCGTGGGGTCCACTGTGCAGGGATGCAGGCAGCAGGATGTCTCACAGCCCTGTCCAGAGTGGCTGGGGGTGCTGACCCTGTGACCGGCACTGCTTCGCTGTCATCATGTGGATTTGCCCTGGGTTTCCCTTGACGTGGCCTTTCCCCCAGCACTGCTTAGGTGACAGCCATCATCCTGACCACACAGCTCATGTAAGTCAAGCGGCTGTGGCTCTTCACAGCTGAAAGCATGTTCCGGTGCAGCTGAAATCTTCCAGCAATGCCACGGCCAGCTCTCAAGTGTCATGGACACTTCCATACCCTTCCTGGTAACCTTCACAGTGAAGAACAAACACCAAAATAATAATAAAATGTGATAATGTAATTGATAAATATAGACTTATAATTTATAAGCAAATATATTCAGGCAGACCCCAGAGATATTGTGAGTATGGTTCCGGACCACCACAATAAAGCAAGTATTGTAATAAAGTGAGTCAAATGAATTTTTTGGCTTCCCAGTGCTACAATAGTTATGTTTACACTGTATTATAGCCTAATAAGTATGCAATGGCATTATGTCTAAACAAACAATGTCTGGGCCTTAATTAAAATTTTATTGCTAAAAAATGCTAATCACCATTAGAGCTCTCAGTGAGTCCTGACCTTTCGCTGGGGGAGGGTCTTGCCTCAGTGTTGCTGGCTGTCCATTGAGGAGCCCGGTGGTGCTTGGAGGCTGGAGTGGCTGCAGCAGTTTCTTAAGAGAACAATGAAGTTTCCCACATTGATTGGCTCTTTCTTTCACAAGTGGTTTCTCTGTAGCGTGTGTTTCTTTGATAGCGTTTTTACCCACCGTAGAATTTCTTTCAAAAATGGAGTCAATCCTCTCAAACCCTGTTGCTGGTTTATCAACTAACTTTATGTAATATTCGAAATCCTTTGTTGTCATTTCAACAATATTCATAGTAGATTCACCAGGAGGATATTTCATCTCAAGATACCGCCTTCTTTGCTCATCCACAAGAAGTAACTCCACAGCCTTAAAGCTTTGTCCTGAGATTGCAGCAATTCAGTCCCATCTTCAGGCCCCACTAATTCTAGTTCTCCTGCTGTTTCTGCCACGTGTGCAGTTACTGCCTCCACTGAAGCTGAACCCCTTGAAGGCACCCATGAGGGTTGAGAGCAACTTCTTCCAAACTCCTGTTAATGTTGATATTTGACTTTTTCTCATGAATCGTGAATATTCTTAATGGCATTCAGAATGGTGAATCCTTTCCAGAAGGTTTTCAGTTAATCCAGATCCCTCAGAGGAATCACTACCTATGGCAGCTATCGCCATATGAATTTCTTAAATATGAAGACTTGAATGTCAAAATTACCCCTCGGTGTGTGGGTTACAGAATGGATGAGGTGTTAGTGGGCATGAAAACAACATTCTTTTCATTGAATATCTCCATCAGAGCTCTTGGGTGATCAGGTACACTGTCAGTAACCAGTAGTATTTTGAAAGGAATCTTAGGCCTTATCAGTGGGCCTAACATACTCAGTAAACCATGTTGTTAACAGATGTGCTGTCATCTGGGCTTTGTTGTTCCATTCATAGAGCACAGGCAGAGGAGACTGACCATAATTCTTAAGGGCCCTGGGATTTTCAGAATGGTACATGGGCACTGGCTTCCACTTAGAGTCACCAGCTGCATTAGCCCCCAACAAGAGAGTCAGCCTGACCTTTGAAGCCAGGCATTGACTTCTCTTCAGCTGTGAAGTCCTGGATGGCATCTTCTTCAAATAAGGCTGTTTCCTCTACACTGGAAATCTGTCTGTTGTCCAGTGTAGCACCTTCATGAATGATCTTAGCCAGACCTGGATATCGCGGGAGCTTCTGCATCAATACTTTCTTCTCACC